TCAATCTTCCCCTGGACTAGGAGCTTCTGTGCGCAGGAACCCCAGGTCCAAAGTTCGCGCTCTGCTCCGGGTGCTTCTTTCGTAGTGGTATGAGGTCCCCAATTCTCTGCCTGCTTCCCTTTTCTTTTATCTCTTGTAAGATAAAAGGTGGTGCAGGCCACATCCTAGGGAAACGCCCTTTACATTGGCCCAGAGATGGGACCTTAGTAAGCGTGTTATAAATTCCCACCCTAATTCTCTTTAACATAAAATTACAATCACAAAATGGAGGACAACAATACAATACTGGGAATTGTGGCCCAGCCAAATTGATACACACATTTTTAGTAAAGGGGACATAATTCAATCCATGACAAAAGGCTTGGTGATCTAATTCTTAAAATCAACTAGTGAAAACCCTATGGCTAGAAATGATCCAGTCCACAACTGATCATGGGGATGGTGCAGGACCAGGAAGAGTTTCATTCTGCTGTGCATAGGGTCATCAGGATTTGGGGACCAGCATGACCACAGCTAACAACAACAAATTCTAGAAATAGGTTGACAATTATTTTTTGCAGCACTCTGGAGATATGACTCCACTGTTTTCTGGCAAAAACTGTTGCTAGTAACAAGTTTAATGTCAGTCTACCATTCTTCAGCAGGTAATTTGTCTTCTCTTCCTGCTGACTTTTGCTTTATCATTGTTCTGCAATTCTGCCTCTATTCACTTAGGTATAAACTTACCTTTGTTTATCCTCCATAGTACAGATACTTTACTTTCAGTCTGAGAACCTGCTCTTAGTCAATTTTTTAATGTTTTCAACTATTATCTTCTTAAACATTGTTTCTCCACATTCACATCCTGTCGTCTTCTTCTGTAATTCCCATTAGCTACATCTTAGAACCACTCATTCTATTCTCCCTGGTTTTTAACTGCTTTTTCATGTATTTTAACCCATGTTATGCTGGGAAATCTCTCAGTTCTATCTTTCAATTCCCTAATTCTGTCTTTAATTGTTTTCAGTTTGGAGTACATGCCATCCATTGTGTTTTTTATATCAAAGCTACACTTCTAAGATTTCTAATTAAAGAGTTTTCAGATACAATTGTTTGCTTCATTCCTGTCTTATTTCTTCTTCAGTGTGAATAGAAGTTACATCTTTATTTCACTGAGCATCCTAAATAGACTTAAAGTACGTTTCAAGCTATTCCATAAATTTATCTTTTCTTAGCATTAGACGTCTTCATGTATTTTGGAATTTTGGTTTGCAGACACACTTTGAAAGAGTGTGTTTACTCTCTATGCATACCCATTCATTTGTTGAACAAATATGTGTCTACTAAGTACTCTAAACTGAATTAGGAGCTAGAAATACATCACACAGCAACTTCACAGTGCCTCTTCTTCCCAGAGCCACTAGCACAGACCACCACCTTAAAATAAACCTTTGAAGTCCCAGGCCTGTGTCGATACTAGGACTATTACAGATCCAGTCCACTGGTTGCAAAAATTTATCTATATCCTTGAGCTTCTCTAATCCTACAGCTTGCCTAAAGCTGTGGCCCCAGGCAACGATCAACATCATTTTTTTCACTCAGCAAATCCTGACTTCTAAGCAGTAAGCCTGATTCCTGTTGGTCTCGTTGCCAGGAAAGAGTACATGTAGAACTTTGATACTACAGGATATTGCCCTAGGTGCAACTGCCAGCCTCTGGACCTAGAATAAACAAATCCATGGCTTTAGATCTACACAGCATTTGATAGGTATTTCTGTTGCATTATTTTTATCCACACAGATGTTTACTTTCTTTCTAAAACTTCTATGTCTTCTTAGTTTTCTGTTTTTCTATCTTAACCACCTTCACCATGTGGAACAGAAAACTGCATCAAAGTATAAACGCACTATGCCATTGGAGTGGAAATCTTTAACCAAATTATTATTAACATTGACTATCTTCTGTTTTATAATTACTGCTGGCATCATTTTAACTCCAATTAGTTAGACCTGCACTCTTCAATAAGGTAGCCACTAGTCCAATGAATTACAATAAAATAAAAAATTTATTTCTTTAGTCACACTAGCCACATTTCAAGTGCTTCACAGTCATACCTGGCAGTGGCTACCACACTGGACAGAGCAGACTACAGAATTTTCATCATCTCAGAAAGTTCCTTTGGACAGAAATTTAGGTCTATCTTCCAGTGTCCTAATCTCTCTTCATTGTATCTAATCTACTATTTAACTCAGCTACTGAGTGTTTTAAATTATTGTTTTTATTTTTGGAAGTTCTATTTGGTTCTATATAAATCTCTGCTTCCTGCTTATATTTCCAAGCTTATTTTTCCTTTAAACAATAATTTTTTCTTCTATTTCTGATCATTCTAGTATCTGAAGTTTTCACAGATCTCTCCTGCTATTAGTTATTTCTGCTAATTCTCACTCATTTTTGAGTGTTGGACTTTTTTGCGTAAATTATTCATACTCCTGTTCACTTCATCTTTGGAAATTCTTTGAGTCCTAGATTAAAATTTAATTCCTTC